CTTTAAAAATAGGATATATGGCATTAAGTGAGAATCCTAACAAATTACTATTTTAATGTACATGTCCATTTTTAAGAGAGCAATAGGGGAATTTTTATTATTTATAAATTTATAATTTATTTATAAAGCCATTTATAATAGCTTTATCATCATTTTATTGGCTTTTATGTATTTTATTAGTAAATGGAAAAGACTATACACTGGCATCTTACATAGATTTCTCTTTTATTCAAATCAAAACTATTATGTTTTAGATAGTTTTTAGGGTCAGGACTGGAGAGATGACTCAGTGGTAAAGAGTAGAATCCCTCCCTTCCAGAGGACCACAGTTTAGTTCCCAGCACCCATGTCAGCCAGCTCACAACCACTTGTAACTCCAGCTCCAAAGGCTTCAACTACCTTTTCTGGTCTCTGTGGGCATGTGCACACATACACATAATTTAAAATAATGAATATACATCTTTGCAAAAAAAAGTACTGGGTAATGTCAATTTCTAGTTGTCTAGAAAATGTGGGTGCTGGATAACTTCCTATTCTATACAAATGGGATTATAGTAGGACCAGAGAGATGGCTCAGTGTTTAAAAGGACTTGATATCCTTTCAGAGAACCCAGGTTGGGTTCACAGCACCCACGACAGTGTATCACAACCATCCCTAATTCCAGTCCCAGAGGATCTGATACCCTCTTCCGACCTCCAACGGCAGCAGGCATGTGGAACAAAGGCATACATACATACAAACTAAACATTCATACATATGAAAAATATTAAAAGAAAAAAACAAGAGGAATTTTACTGAACCAACTGCATTTTGCTCACAGCTGCAAATATCTGAAATTGTAAGAAAGCATTCGAATTTCAAACAATTTTGGTCTAACATGATATTTGTAGAGCGTTAAAATGGATGAAAATAAAACAAATGAATGAACCATTTAATATGTGATCTGAGTGTCATGTTTCTGACAGTGATCAATAAAACTGGTGGTATCCCTGAAATATGCCGCTAGAATTACTGACATAATTCTTTCACGTATCCATGGCTGACATTTAGACAGAAAACACTTATGTCCATGTAAGTACACATGCATGTAAGTCCGAGTTAACTCGTCACCAACACTTTTATATTAAATCATCCCTCACCCATGAATGAGCTCAGAGTCTATCAACTGATCTCCATAACTACATTCTCATCATCTAGATATTTAAAATTACATAATTGTGTGAGGATTTTTTTTCACTTGATCTTTTTCTTACTTGACTAAGAATACCAAGGATGTCCCCGGTGCTCACTTGAAGCTTGGTTTAGTCACACTAGCAAACCCCAGGCTCAAATGTCAAAAGGGATCAGTCAACACGGTGGGCTAACCGTGCTGCGGCGTGTGTGCTGCAGGATTCCTCAACACAGCAAAGCAAATGTTTAGTCATTACACATGCTTTCTGTTAACTCCCTAGATGGGATTTTTTTTTTTTTACCTTTGTGCATTTGAGAACAAAGTGAATGCAGAAACGCCGGCAATCCAAGGCTTCATTAGTACAGGAGAAGCAACGCTCACTTTGCTACACAAATAATTAGAGAGATTAAATGAAAATAAACACGGAGAGGCTGAGCAGAGACTCTGAAGTTAGGTAATTATTTTAATTACTCTAGTGACTTCCACCAACCTTCATTACCAAGCACAGATCAAATTTCAACTGTTTTATATAAGAGTATCATGAGCCTGAGCTCCATGGGCAGGCCCAATAGCTACAATACCTCAGAAGCAGGACATTTTCTTCAAGCTCCTATCCTCGGTGGTTTCCATTTCAGCACCTGATAAAGTCTACATATTTGAAGGTGATACATTTTTACACTGGGAAGTGGTCAAGTCTGGGTTTTTTGTTCTTCTGATGGACATTCTTAGTAACTTTGTATCTTTACTTAGATTTGATCATGGATGATTTGGGGTCAGGTTTTTTTTTTTTTGCCACTGAATGTAAAGCAGTATGGCATATTCTGCCATTTGAAATAAATGTCACTTGGAATCATATCATCCTTATTGCATATGCTTTATTTGGGGTACACTAAGGTAAACTAATTTCAGCTTTCCACTTCTGCTTGTACCAGCTTAGGAAGAGACCACACCACACCGGTGCCCCACCCTACACGTGGGGTCACTCTTGGCAGTCTTGCTCAGAAAATACTTTGCATTTCAGCCTTATGACGATTATGATGCACAGAGGTCTCCAGGCTGATGCCAATTCTTCTGGTAGAATCTGGTGGATTCTAACTTACCCCTTTTTAATCCTTTCACTATCCTATGGAGTATATGTACATTATTATCGCATGTTCTAGATAAGAAAACTGAGCCTGAGGGGCGGGGGGGGGGGGGGCAAGGAGTGGAGAGGTATACCACGAGGCAGAGGAATGAATGAGAACAAAGTATTATGTATGAGGAAGGCAGGAGGAATCCCATGACTTCATGTATGTTTACTGACTTTTCTGTTGCTACGCTGAAACACCGTGACCAAAGTGGCTTACATAAGTACTTATGGGGCTTACATTTTTGGAGGTTGTGGATGGGGAGCAGAAAGAGTTTTCAGGAGCAGGAAGCTAAGAGCTCACTTCTCAACAAGTAGCCAAGCAAGCTCCTCTCAGAGTCCACCCCCCCCCCCCCAGGACACACCTGCTCAGCAAGACCATACCGCCTAAGCTTTTCCCAACCAGCACCACCTGCTGGGGAACAGCTGGAGTGTTTAAATACATGAACCTAGAAGAGGCTTTCTTATTCAAAACTAAGTAATTCAAAAAATTAAGCAGACTTTCAGAGGTCCATTGACTCAGTATATAGAAGTAGAAAGTGTCCTGACTGACAACCAAACCCAAGAACTGAGACAATCCCCAAGACAGGAGATGGATCTGAGCACATGGTGAGGATTGTTCTAGATGGTTTCATGCCAACTTAACAAGCTGAGTTGAGAAAAGGGACCTCAATCACGAAAATGCCTCCATAAGATCGGACTGTAGACAAACCTGTAGGGCATTTTCATTATTAGTGATTGGTAGAGGAGGCCACTGCCCATTGTGAGTGGTACCTGGATCTCTAACAAAGGATGAGCAAGTCATGATGAGCAAGCCAGTAGGCATCACCACTCCATGACCTTTGCATCAGCTCCTGCCTCCAGGTTCCTGCCCTCTTTGAGTCCCCATCCTGGCTTCCTTTAATGATGGACCAGGATGTGGAAGTATAAGCCACTTTCCTCTCCAGTTTGCTTTTTGGTCACCTTGTTTCATCACAGCAACCCTAAGACATCATAGTAATCCTAAGACATGGGCAATGGGAAAGGATATGAATTCTATATGCTAGCTAACATCTCTCGTTAATTTTCACATTCGGTTGACTGGTAAAGTGTACTGTCTTTGACTAACCCTGTTCTGGAGCAAACACAATTCAGAAGAGGTTTTATGGTGTAGTGGAACTAACAAAGATATCCCTACTAACAAAGGTTAGCTATGCTTTCAACATGACTCACTAACCACTGAGTTTTACTACCGCTATCACAAGGCAATTCTCTTCAACCGCATTTAAAATGTCCAAAAGAATAAGGAAGGTTTCAGCAACTACTTTGGTAAGGGGAGGGGATCAGGTAGATTTGTCTGTGACCTTCACGACTTTAAGGAAAGCTTGTAGCAGCTTCCCTCCCTTTCCTCTCCCTCCGGATGCTGGCGTGTACGTCGTGTCCTGAGGTAGAATACGGGCAGGGAATCCAATGGAAGCACTGTTTTCAGGTTTTGGGCTCACCACTAGGGACAGTTTTGGGTTCTGGAGATCACAGGGAAGGTGGAACCGAAGGGTAGGACTTACTTGGGTTGTGGGGCAAGGGGAAATGTTTAAAAAGTCGCTCCTAGTTTTCGGTAATCTAAGAGGATCTTTCTGAAAACTCACAGCCATACCGTGCCAGACCCTGGGAGCTACGTGAAGAGGAGAGAGATGGAATGGGCATCTACCCGCCATAAGGACAGCCTGGGGTTCAGCTAAGAGATCCTCAACAATTGAGAGCATCTTCCAGTCACTGCCATGGCTCCGCTTGTCATCCTCGGACAGGCTTGATTTGATGGCACATCTTCCATCTAGGAAGAGCCATCACTTGCAACCAGGCGGTGTTGACCAGGTGTGCAGTGAGGAAGTGGAGGGTTATAGCCAGGACACCTGCGTTCTGTTTCCACTCTGCCAGTTACCACTGACCTCGGCAATCCTTTAAGTCTCCATCTTCCACTCCCTCATGCAGAAAATGAAGGTGACCCCACTTCCAAGGCCTCCTTCAAAGGATCCCAGGGCGGATCACGAGGAATAATTCCTAAGACTGCAAACACGGAGGGCTCCAACATGAAGAAAAATAAGTTAAACCTACTCAGCTGGAGTTTCCAGAAATTTCTTCCCCAGAGATCCAACTGTGGCCGGGCAGCGCCAGTTCGAATTGATTCATTGCAATGGGCTGCCACACATGCCAAATACCTATGTGCGGGACCCCTCCATCCCCGTGGGTTTCTGTTGATTTCTCCCTTTCATGAAAAGCGGTTTTTGTTGCCGAGATTCTGTACACCAACTCCACAAGCTGGGAGCCTGGGAAGGGACCGTTTTTGCCTCCTCCGCCTCTTTCCTCCCTCTCCCCTCTTAAGGTCTCTGGAGTTGTCCGCATGTGAATGGGTTTCTTTGGCTGATCACCAAAGACCCTGCAGCATTCCCGAGAGCTGAGCCCTCTGGGCGATCTGAGAACAGCATTCCCCACAGGCAGAGGTCGCGCAGCCCCACAGGGACCATCCTCCCTCTCGCAGCCTCTGGCCGCGGGGAGCACCGGCTCAGACCCCGCAGAGAGCTTGGGCCCTTCCCGCCTCCGCCCCGCAGCCCCTCTCCGCCAGTAGCAGCGCTGCTATCTTCCCACAGGAGCACTGGGAGGACGCTGGAGTCTGCAGCGCCCCCGCCCCTTCGCTTTTTCTTTCTTTCCCTGCTTTGGGATCTTGCTGTCTGGAGCCGGGAGAGGTTCCGAGAAGAAGAAAGCTAGGGGCGCGAGCGCAGGTTTCTGCCGCGGCGCGCGAACGGAGCTAGGGGAGCAGCATCCTCGGTGTCCACTTAGGATCGCAGCTGCACTGACCGACATGTGAAGGAGGAAAGCCCCTCGCATCATCTGTCGCCGCCTCCAAAAGGGTCCCAGAGCGCTCGCCGAGGCCGACATCCGGAGCTGCTTTGCCAGCAGCGGTGTGGGACGGGAGCGGCTAGCACACCGGCTCGCAGGTTCCAGGCTCGCACTCTAGGAAGAGCGCAGCGGAGACCACCGCCTCGCTCGCACTCGGCACAACTCCGGGGCCGGCAGAGCGCTGCTGGACCGCGTCCAGATTCCCGCCGACTTCAACCAGAGTGACCCACAGCTCCAGCCCGTCCCTCTGCACCGCCTAGAGTTCCAGATTAACCGGAATCTGCGCCGACCCGCACGCCCAGGTCCCCGCAACGCCCCGGGCTGGATGGAGAGCGCGCCTGCCGCTGCTCCCTAACTGCTGACGCCGCCGTCCGAGCCGCACACCGAGGTCCCTCCTACACCGAGGCTAGTCCTTTTTGGGGGTTTTGGGGGTGCCCTAGACGCTGGGGAGCGCGCACCATGAAGTCGGCGCTGTGCAGCCGCTTCTTCATCCTCCTGCCCTGGATCCTGATCGTCATCATCATGCTGGACGTGGATCCCCGCAGGCCCGCGCCCCAACTCACTTCGCGCCCCTACTTCTCTCCCCACACAGTGGGCTGCGGGGGCTCCCGAGTCCCGCTCCGACGGAGCAGCCTAGGGCGTGACGCTGCCGAGAAGCGCAACGAGTCCCGGCCTCCGCTGCAGCCGGAGCCGCGGTTGCCCACCATCTATGCCATCACGCCCACCTACAGCCGCCCGGTGCAGAAAGCCGAGCTGACCCGCCTGGCCAACACGTTCCGCCAGGTGGCGCAGCTGCACTGGATCCTGGTGGAGGATCGAGCCACACGCAGCGAGCTGGTGAGCAGCTTCCTAGCGCGGGCCGGGTTGCCCAACACGCACCTACACGTGCCCACGCCGCGGCGCTACAAGCGACCGTGGCTGCCGCGCGCCACCGAACAACGCAACGCGGGACTCGCCTGGCTGCGCCAGAGGCACCAGCACCAGAGCGCGCAGCCCGGAGTGCTCTTCTTCGCCGACGACGACAACACCTATAGTCTGGAGCTCTTCCAGGAGGTAGTGGCCCGGCCCCCCGTTGGGGGGGGGGCAGGGGCGGTGGGGCTCCAGGGGCTGCATCCCCTTTGTGTTTCGTGTACACTTTTGAGTTCTCAGTCCTCCGTGCACACATCCCGGACTCAGCGTGGAGCACCTACAGGATGAGCAGTCCCCAGCCTCCTCCTCTGGTTGTCATGGGTGGAGAAGGGGCTTTGTGGTCCAGGGGGGAAGAGTTGGCCTTTGGATATCTTGCCCTGTCCGCGACTGGACCCAGTAACTAGCACAGGTGATTTGTACAACTGGATGGAGCCCAAACCTGGAGCTGGGCTTGATTAACTTGTAGGTTTTAACAGTGCCTACAGGTGATTCTGAGTTGAGACGCGTGTAGGAAGGGGGTACTAACAACTCAGTTTTGGAACCAATCTCTTCTGGTACAGTCAGCCAGCCCCCTGGTGCTAAATTAATCCTTAGAGCAAATACTCAAATATTGGGGGGGGGGGAGCTGGTCTGCCTGGCCCCTTTTCTAGGCCATTCTCTGAGACCTCTCTGGCTTGGAGTTTGTCTGGCCACTCTTCCTTGGAGCGAATGCTGCCTTGCGTTCTCTGAGGTAGATCCTGAACACCAGCCGCCCCCTGCTGCTGAAGTGGCCAATGTTCCCTGCAAGGCCACCTGCATGTGCGCAGCAGCGGCGGAGCAAGTGGCCTTTCTTGAGGCTGATCTATGATAACGCTGTGGGTCTATGAAGGAAAATGAGCTAGAGCTCTTGTCCTTTTTTTTTTTCTTCCCAGCACTTAGTTACAGCTGAATGAAATCTTGATTTCTTTGCACCGTGGGACTGTAATTCTCCACCTGAAAGTCCTTTGCATCCAGTCTCCTAGAGATTCCCCCAGCTCCTCCATTCCCTTAGGAAACTGGACGTTCGGGAAATACTATTTGCGCAGGATACTGGGTTCATAAAACAATCTGTGTATCCAGCAGGCAGATGACCCCCACCTCCATTCTGTCACCCAATGTCAGGTGGCTGTCTTGGCCTCAGGACAGTGGCTATACCCTTTCTGTTTAATTTTTGTCTATGCGGTTTTTAAAAATCTGTTTTTAAAAAGTTAGTTGCCACCTTCATTTCTACCCTCTCCTTGAATAAAAGAAGCAGTAATTGTTCCCCATTCTCTCATTCCATGGGACTTGGTTTTTATGTTTCCCCAGAGAAATAAGTTTGGTTTAGTGTGTAGCATGGCTTTTATTATACCCACGATTAGAGCTACCAAATGATTGTTTTGAAGTTGGGCTTTTATTTTGAAGATGAGTGGTTTCCCTGTTCTTTCCACTAAAAGGAGGACTTGTGCTTTGAAGCAAAGACCTTTAACTCTGAATGCCTGTTTATTTTTAAGCCAAGTCTTCTTTATTGCCCATCTCCGAAGTTGCTTTACCTATGATGTGTGGTCTTGTTTAAGAAAAATGGTGCACATTGCTGTTAATTAACATTTGAGGGGGCTAAACTGGAAAGGGGGAAGACTGCCTTTATCCAGTGTTCAGCTTGCTGGCAGGAGGTGCCAGAGGAGTAGAGAAGTTGGCACACACAGGCAGGGAAACAGTTCAGATACAGTCTTCCTTTGGGACTTCCCCTGCTGAAAGGGAGGCTTGTGCGGAGCCTATTAAAGAGGGGAAGAAAAATCAGTGGATTTTTTTTCCATCAGTCTGTGGAGGGCGACTGAAGACTGATAAGGGGAAGAGGACCAAGTAGGGAGGAAAAAAAATGTATTGGCAAAGAGAAAAATCCAATTTTTTTAAAAGCAAGTGAAACTTTTAAGGCAGGAACATTTTACACAACTAGAAATACTGTAATACTCAGAATAGATATTTTCAGACCACATGTAACTTTTTATGGATACATGTGTGGCAGGTGTTTTGTTTTGTTTTCAGTATAAGATGCAGGACACACTGTGTCTCCTGAACCTCTGTCTCAGACAGCAGTTTAGATCAAGCACCTTTCCCCAGCGCTGCCCCAATTCCCTCCTCCCAGGTATATTTTTTTTTTTACAGATGAGGCTTTTTTAAATTATTGATATGAGTTTCATATTTCAACTTCCTTATTCTAATCCTGTTTTTCTTACATGACACTCAACTTGATTAGTGAGGCTTATGTATCCTCTTGTATTCTTTCTAGAATTTGACGTGTATTTCCCTCTAAGCTCTTGATTTCATTGGTGGGGTGACTCACTCTGCACCCCTTCTGGAATTAATGATTCTATGTGGACTGCAGTCTAGACAGTGTTCCCTTGGAGAAAATAGAGATGTCTATAAACTCCTCAACACTGTAGTTCCTCGGGGGGAGAGGAAGGGAGGGAGGCTACAGAGTGGACTCCTAGATCTCAACCCTTTGTATTGAGAATATGCACAAATTCACTTTAAGTAATTAATATCATGTAAGGAAAGAATGTCCCAAGCCAGGCTTCGTCGTTTTTGCTCATAGAGCTTCTAATCTCCACGGTTGGTGAGAGAAAAACAGATAAGATAAAAGGAGGAAAATGAACCAGGTACAAATTAGCTCACCAAGAATTGGCTGCAAATGAAGGATAGCGAAGGATGAAAGGCTTCCAAATTAAATTAAAGACGCAATCTGCAATCTTCATTTAATTATTCCTCCCTGGTAACTGGAATACCATGGGTTTTTTTTTTTTCCCTCCTGTATGGCTAATTTTCAGCTTTCCTTTTCAACTGAGCCATGATGACAGGGAGGGAATATTGGCACAGAATGATCTCGTGTGCACAGTCAAACCTATCTGCAAATGAAGCTGAGTGTGAGCCACAGCCTCAGAAACTGTCTCAAGTAAGCAGGGAGGAAGTAGTGGGTTCTTTGCTGGTTTCAAACACCTCAACTCCTACAGTTCTCCCTGTGGACATCGACAAGTTTTGTTTTGCATGATGGGTCACTGGTAATCCTGCCTGCCTGTCTGCATTGATCAAGCTTTCTGAAAAAGCTTATTTGCAAAGGATTTAGGCTGCTTTAATAAAAGCCACAAGTACAGATAAATGGGACTTTATACCTGGTCATATTTTCAATAACTATCGATCAGATGTCTGTTCCTCAAGGCTTTCCCAAGCTTAAAGTAATGCTCTTCGGCTGACTGTGTTTTCACCTTTGGAGATCAATTGAATTGAAAAGGTAAAAAAAAGAAAAAAAAAAGAAAAATAGCACTTTCCAAGCAAAAAAACAAAAACTTTAAAAATTTAACTTTAATGAGATGAGACAGGAAGATGAAACCAACTAAGATATTCAAGCGGTGCGGGAGCCAGTTAATGAGATGGTGTGGGAGGTATTTTCAGAAAGCAAGGACTGAAAAGTGGAGAGGTCCCTGGCTGGGATATCTTTCCGGATGCTGTTAATCTATTCGTGTGCTAGGCAGACAAAGCGAGGGTATTTAATTCCATAGTATTATTGCTTTCTAAAGCATTCCTGTGTTCCCTTCTGCAAGTTAGTTGCTGGAATCATAACCCCAAAGACTTTTGGGGTTACAGGGTTGGCAGCCCCTCCCAGGAGGCACTAAGCACATCCGGAGAGGAGGCCTGGTTTTCTTTCTTTTTTTACCCTGACCTAATTGCCTAGCTTAGGGGAGTCTTCACAAGGAAGCCTAGAAGCTTCTCATAGGTGTAGCCCAGAAAGCCTACCCAGAGCATACCCCTTGGATGGTATGTCTTCCCCTCTGAGAGTGTGGTAATAGGCCATAGAACTGATAAAACTTGATTTCATCCTTTTATGGTTTTTTGTTGTTGTTGTTACTGTAAACTGCAGTCAGTCTTCTGAATGTTAGAGATCTTCAGGTTTTCTTCATGCTCCCTGGGTGTATATTACTTGAATTATGGTTCTGCTTTGATAGTTTTCCTCAGAGACCAGTGGCCTCCATTTGGATTTTGAGGTTTTAATGGGCCAGAAATAATAATTTGGGTTTAAAAGACGTTGCCGACCTGCCTCTTCCCATTGTGTTTTGCTACCATTCTTCTCTCCGCCCTACTTTTCCCTGATGAGTCTCTCATGAATAGGCATGAAGGCATGCCCGGAGTAACATTTGGTGTGACGGATGTGTGTCTTCGAAACATTTAGGTTGTTTGCAGCTTCTTGGAAACCAGAGTAGGTGGCTGCGTTTTCCTGTCTGTTTCACTTGCCTCTCAATTACGAGCTGGTAAATTTTCTCTTGTGTGAACAGTAATAGAATAGTAATTGCTTTTAAGACAGGCTGAAAAAAAGCAAACAGAACAAAAGTCGACGGTCTCATTTAACCACCGCAGGTGGTGTTCAAGGTGTGTGAGTGCATGCCACAGGACTCGGTACTGCCGGGCTGTAGCTGTTGAAGCCTTTCTGACTCTAGGATATTTTGCAGGCTGATAAGGAAGCACATTATTGTATGTTTGATTCACAGGGCCATTGAAGCATGAAATTTAGGTTTTGTATGGTTCTCAGATTCTCTCCTAAAACATTAGGAAAAATGTTACAACAGCCCATAGAATCCTTTTCCGATTTACAGAAGGAAAACCGTAATTGTTTTCTCAGTCGTGCTTGCTATGTTTTCTATACAGTTTTAAATAAGTGTCAAAAATATTCTCTAGACCATTATGGAAAACCACAGCCAAAAAAATGCAGAGTTGTGGAACCCAGTCCCAGGTGATACATCTGCACTACAACTCCTGCACCACCGAAGGCTCAGGGATCATTGCTGAACAGGGAAGCAGAAAGAGCCAGAGGGCCCAGGAGGCAGCTGTGAGACGGTGTCTCCTGGAAATGTCAGACACTAGAGCCATGATCAGAAGACAGCTTTCAAGCCTTGGTCCTCTCCTTCCACCAGGGATCAAAGTCAGGTGACCAGCTTTGATGGGAATCACCTTTACTCACTGAGCTGTCCTCTCACTGACCCCGCCCTTGGAGCTTCACTTACAGTAACTCAGGCTCACTGTGCCTGCTGAGATAGCATCCCCTCACCTCTGTGTTTAAATAGAAAGGCAGGCTTTTGACGAGTAAAGGGAATTTA